TGCCCCGTGGGGTTGATATCCTGCGGGCTTCGGGGGCGAGCCGCTGTGTGTACAGGGACCTTCGCGAGCTGACTGTCACGCAGCCCTCCTGGGAACAACGGGCCTGCCACGGCTCTCACTGCAAAAGCGTCTCCCTCCACGCCCTCCCACTGGCCCTCCAGCACTGCGCTTCCCCTCACAAGGCCACCTGGGGAGATCCCCTGTCCCCGGGGCCTGGGGTCACCCTAGGCCACTCCCCTTCTGTCCCGACCATATCTCCGCATAAGCAGGTGACATCACGAGCTCCCGATGACCATCCCGGCCCGGAGGCGTGTGGTCAGGTTCTCTCTTTGCAGCATGAGACATACGTGAGGCTCCAACACCCCGTCTCCCTGCTCAGTGTCTCTGTCCCCAAACCCTCCCTCTCCGGGTTGGAAGCCAATTAGAGCGTTTACTTCTAACCCTGCTTTGAAGGTTCTGCGGTCCCCGGCGGATAGTCCCGCCTCAAGCCCTGGCCCAGGGCAGGCCTGATCTTGGGGGAGGGGGGGTCCCTTTGGGCTCTTTTAGTCTCACCTTTCAGAGGTTCAAGCTCTTTTTCCTCTGAGACTGACCAAGACAGCCTCCTACCTCGGCCAGTTCTGGCTCAAGCTGCGTTATGGAGAGTGTGGCCTTTCCCCCCTGACACTGGCGGGCCAGCTGGCTCTGTGGGAAACAGAACCCTCCACAGTCCTGCTTTCAGCCGGGGACAGACCAGCCACTGCAGCGGAGCCAGGCAGGGCAGAGGTCCCGGCCACGGCCATCTGTGTGGGCTGCGGACTGGCCGTTTGACACCAGCAGAGGGTCCTGCAGCTCCTGTCCCGGGCATGTGAGCTGCACATGGGCACAGGGAAACTTCCAGAGCCAAGAGGGCCTGGTCACGAAGGGCCTCCCGCTGACGGGGCTTCCACGCTAATGGGGTGGGGTGGGTGGAGGGGGGTGATCAGGTGAGGCAGGGGAGGCGTCACTCCAGCATCAAAATGAAGGACCAGCTCCCAACACAGGCAGCACGACAAATGACATCTCATTGTGATGTCTTAAAAGCTGGAGTGACGGCCAGCGATTCAAGATGCACCAACCGTCGAAGTCTAGAGAAAGCCAGGGCAGCCAGCACGGAGGGCCCTCCCCGCCCTGGAGCCCACCGAGGACCGATCCCGTCCAGTGTGGTCGAGCCCTGAGCCAGGTGAAGCCTGCTCACTCCCGTGGTTGGGGGGTGCTGGGGCAAGCGACTCTCAGCGCGCCCCTGACCCAGGGAGGACAGCCCCCATCTTGGCCCTGGGAGGTGACAAGAATGGAACCACCCCTTCCTAGGGAGGTGGCACAGGACGGAAGAAGCCCTGTCCTGCCTAGGAACAGAAGCGCACTGAGTCCAGTCTGGCTTGTCTGGGGGTGACGAGGAAATGGCCCCTAGCAGAGGTCTCTGCCTGGCAGCTCCAGGAGGCTCCCTGTGTCCCACCGGGAATGTGCCCTCTCACCCTAGAGCGTTACCTCTGCTGGGCCTACCTGGCAGTCTAATGGCTAAGGAGGCAGATCCCAACTGCCCACCCTCCATGGTTCAAATCCCAGCCCTGGAGGCTCGAAAAACACACCAAGTGCTTGTGCGTGCCCCAGATCCCGACGAGATGGAGGGCTGGAGGAGAGGCCTGGCCATACCCACCGGAGGGTGCATACTCCCTCCCCCCGTCTCACACCCTCCCGTAGTTAGAGGGAGCTCACCTCGCTCAAGAGGCTTCCCCTGAGCCACACGATGGTAAATGGTCTCTCCTGCTCTTTTTCCCTCGATCCATGTAGACTGCGTGTGTATGCATGTGAGAGAGAGTGAGGGGCGCCCTCCCCAGGTTGGCTGCCCACAACCGCCTCCTCCAGCCCTGTAGCCCTGGGTCCTGGGCACTCATGCCGGTGATTCAAACACATCTCCAAGTGGGGCCTGGCTTCCCACGAGCATGGTCCCTGTGCCAGGAGCAGGCCTCCTGGATAGGCTTGGGAGCAGCCCTCGGGTACACCCTCCAGAAGTTCACGCATGGCCTCGGTTCCTGGTGCCATTGGCTGTCTCCCTCCTCCAACCGCGCTCCTGGAGGGCCCATGCTCCTTCCGAGCTCAGGTGGAGGCTGGCGCCAGCTGGGCCCCATAGCCCTGACTGCAGGCACCGCTTGCGAAGAGCCTGGAAGAAACCCTAACACAGCCCTGCCCAGCCACAGGCTGGGCCTCCCCACCAAGCGCACAGGGCAGGCCGGGCGGGCGCGGCCCCTCCTCGGCCACCTGCCCAACGCTGTCACACTGGCCTCTCCTAAACTCCCCCTTTGCAAAGCAGTCTGCAGGTCCCCTCGGTGCCCTGCTTTTGGAAGGGAAGGCTGGATTCAGGGGTGCGGGGGGGTGGGGTGTGTGTGCGTGTGGTGGGCGCTGGAAGTTCAAGGACCTCCAGCTCAGGTTCCAGCAGAATGCAGGAAGAAAGGGAAGCCAGCGTCCTTCCGACTCCTCGACTCCTCGGGGGAAGAGGGAAAAGAGAACGGCGTGTAGGACCCTGGTCGAAGCGAGTCGGCTCGGAAAAGTGCGGGAGCTGCCAGTTGCAGGGGCCCAGGAAGGCCGTCCCTCGCCTGCTCACCGCCTTTCCACTCAGCCTTTCCACCCCAAAGGCCCAAAGAGCTGGCCAGACACCGCCGGCCAGTGCCCTGTGGCCCAAAGCTGCAGAACACTGCAAAGGTGTGGGGTGCTGGGACTGGCCAGGTGGCGCTTAGGGACAGGTCCGCAGCCCCTGGGCGGTGGCAGCCTGCTGGGCTCGGGTCCCCAGTACAGACCGTTCATAAAAGAAATATTTTCAAAATGCTTTTATAGACTGCAAGTGAGAGGCGTCACCGAGGTGTCCAGGAGACATCAGGACTCCTGTTGCTTGGGATGACTCGGGGACCCCCCAAGGCACCTCTCCAAGACGCCCCTGGGTGTTCGCGGGGACACACATCTCCTTGCGAGGGGCGGTTGGGTCCTTGTGCCCTCGCGGCGGGAGGCACGGGCCGGGGTTGCCCACCGCGCAGGCCGGGGCGGGGAGAGGAAGGGGAGGAGGCGCCTAGAAAGGGAGGCGCGAGCCGGGGAGGTGCGG